GTGAACCAAGCACACTGTTCAAGGTCAGGAGTCAGCAATGGTCTGTGTTGGTTCTGGCAGACGGTCAGCATGAGGCCAGTCTGAAGGGCTTGTGTTGCCATGGAAACTGATGCCAGAAGAAGATAGGCTGGTGGCAGAGTGCACACAGATCCTCAGCTTGTGTAAGAGGTGATGCAGCCCAAACAGCAAGAAGGGGCCCAGAGAGTGCTGGTGATGATGGTAGGCAGCTTAACAGGCCTGTCTTCAGCAGAGACAGAGAATCTTAGCATGGAGGCCCAGGCAGAAGCTACAAACTCCATAGTGGACCCTCTGTTCAAGAGTCAAGTCCAGACACTGCATTACCAAAAGCTGGGACTGGCAGGTTGGGTGAGTGGTGCAGGCTGGGTTTCTGGAAACAGATCTGAGACACAAATCAGATGAAGGAGGTTTCTTTGGAATACACTTGGGATCAATGCTTGTGGAAACAAGTGTTGGGAAGCAGGATAGAGCAGAGAGAGTTTACTGAGATGCTGTTCTAGTCTGGGCCGCTATAATGAAGAATCAAAAACTGCATAGCTTACAAATAACAAACAATTATTCTTATGGTTCTAGAGGCCAGTATATACAAATCCAGGTGCTGACAGATTTGGTGTTTGGTGAGAGCTTCTTGGTTCATTATGTGTCACTTCACTGTGTCTGCACATAGTAGAAGGTATTAGTTAGCTCATTGGGGTCTTGTCTGTAAGGGCACTAATCCCTTTCTTGACCCAAAGACCTCATCTCCTAATATCATCATATCAGGGATTAGGATTTCAACATACGAATTTTGGGGGGAAACAAACATTCAGACCACAGTCCTGTCCCAACAAATGCAGTAGCCCACCCCATGGGGACTCTTTAGAAGAATCCCCTAGAATTGTCCAGAGTTTGGGGAATGAAGGGTTCAGGCCTTTATCTCCCCACATCAATCTATCTCTGGATGCTAGCTGCTACTGGTAGCAGGCATTACTTTGGGCCTGGCACTTTTTTCCAACAGAAGCAATTCTCAAAGATGGCTAACAGCTGAGGGCCATCTTCCGGTGGTGTTCCCAGCAGCTGGGGATTCCATCCTTCCATCCTGAGAAGGCATCTGGGAATCACATCCCAACATCCATCTCAGTGGATCCAACTGAACCTACAACCCAGAGTCCTGAGTGCCCAATAGCCATGAATGATAGGACTCAGCCATTAGAATTTTGATCAACAAAAAAGGGAAAAATATTATTACATTAAGTTCCATGGGATTGGCTTTGATGGGAGGAAAGGACTGGGGAGACTGGCTAAAACTATTTGCATACTTCACCTCTTGGAAACTGGTTGCTCTGGACTCTAAGGTGAGAGCGGGGTGAGGGAAGGGCAAGGGCAATTGAGTCTGCAGAAGTCAGGGGACCGTGATCCCAGCTGTGAGAAGCTGAGGCGGACAGCTGCAGGGAAGTAGAGGACCTCTGTGGATGTCTGCGGACACTTCTCCCTGTTCATTTTAGCAAATCTTATCCATCATAGCCCTGGGGCTTATAACACCATAAAACTGTTCAAACAGCCGAATCTACTCATCATGTGCAAACATGCAGTTTTAATTTTCAGAAATATTTCTCAAGACACTGATGCAATTTTGTTCCTTAATGTTCTTTTATTGTGAGATTTTCAGTGTGTTGTTCCGGCCATTTCTGCATTTCAAGACCAGAGCACGAGACTGCATTAATTTATCTTTAGTGAGACCTGTCCCCTCACTGCTCAGTTCAAAATGCAGTCTTTGACTTAATATCTCTCAGAAGGCAGGAAGGAGGGAAGTTTTTTAGATGAAGTCCAAGAATACAAAATTATTAACCAAAAACAACTTTCCCCTTTAAAAACTGTAGTGAGTAAGCAGTGGGGAACTCATACTAGAGCATGTTTCGATGTCAACATTTAATATGTCACAACATTTGGGTCATTTTAGCAGATGATGAGATTTTTCTAATTCCTAGAGTATCATCAAACAGCTGTTTTTTCTTTTCGAAATAATACTAACTCTGCCCCTCTTCCCACCCCCGACTGTCTAGGTTTCCAGAGCTTGATATTTCTATGCAATAGCTTCCATTTCACTTGGAATCCTTTTCCCTGATCCTGTACATCCACTCTGCATGTGGGGTGTGACTCCACATGAAATGGCCAAGCGTCTGTTGTTCTGGAAAGACTCAGCTGTAGTGGCATATGGACAACACACTTTAAAAATGGGGTTATTTCATAATTGCCTCGACTTTGTCCAAGAAAAGGGAACACATTTAAATTCCCTGTAATTCAAACCATTTGTGAGCAAAGCCTCCACCGTGAGCTGGGAGGGCTGGATCCATGAGGGATGGTTGTGTTCCAAACCATCCACCTGGTTGGAAAACTCATCCTGGTCCAGTGCTCTGGCTAGGGAAGTCGTGAGAAGAGAGAGTTTCCAGGTGGGGGAGAAATGCTGTCCTGGACTTGGGGACAGGCTGTCTCGTGGGCTGACCTTCTGTGTGTGATTCATCCCAACACTCCCACTGGTCCGTCCAGAGGCTTGGTGTGCATAGGATCACATGTCATCTGTGCGGCTTCTTATTCCCCACGGGAGGGAGCGGGGATGGCCTTAACATGGACTGCGGCAGAAAAACATGGGCTCAGGGCCGAAGAAAATGGGATCCACCACTCACCACGGGCACATGGCTAGCTTCACACAAATCACGCTGCTTCTCTGAACATCCACTTCCTTGTTTATAAAATGGTAAACACGCATGCACATGCCCCTTGCATGGTAGTGGTGGAAATTAAAAATAATGAACTTGAAAATTCCTTTTCTCTGGCTCTGAATCTGGAAATTCAACCAACTGATGATCAAACATATTCAGGGCTGGGGATGCAGCTCAGGGGTAGAGTGCTTGCCTCAATCTGCAAGGCCCTGGGTTTGGTCCCCCAGCACTGTAAAAATTAAAGAAAAAAAATTGCATCTATACCAAACATATCATTATTCTTTGTCATTATTCACTAAACAATTCGCCATCATTCTTTACATAGCATTTACATTTTATTAGGTATTATATGTAATCTGAAGATGATTTAAAGCATAGGGGAGAATGTTGTAGGTTATATGTAAATACTACATCATTTTATATGAGGAACTTGAGCAATGTAGGGATGTGGTATCCAAGAGGGTCCTGGAACAAATTCCCCTTGGATACCCAGGGACGACTGTATATGGAAAACACCAGCATACACTTGGCTCATATAGGCACTCAATACTGGAAGCTATCATTATTGTTAGCTATTACTAAATGAGGTCTATGAAAAGGGTCTTTCTGTATAATCTAAATTCCCATTATGCTCATCATATGCCCAATCTGGCAGGAAAACGGCTCGCTGACAGTATCCATCTTTCCATTCACAAGTCACATGAAATATATGGCTTTTTTCTTAAAGAGTTCCCAAAGGTCTGCTAGGTTTCCTGGCAATGAGACAGCGATTCAAGCTGGTCCAGGTAGAGAACAAAGTGGTGCCAACAGCCACATTCCTTGCACAGAATGCTCCCCTCTGGGCCATATGCACGGTGGCTGTGTGTGCCAGCCTCTGGGGCTTGGCTCACCCGGCAGCTGCATAAATTGCCTCAAACGTGAGGTTATTTATGGCATAACCAACCTGACTTTGGCCTAGCTCTTGTTCTCATTTCTTAAATGATAGTATTAGTGCTAGGGGAAGACAGGCAGCATAGGAAACTGAATTCCACAGACAAACGTTGCCAGGTGTCTGCCCGCCAGTGCAATCGCATTGGGCCTGGTGGTCATTGTCAGCTCCATAATTCTAGGCAATGACCACCCGAGGTGAAGATGGTCCACTGAGTATCAGCAACAACTGGGCAGGGAGGAATGGGTTGATTTTTCTGTAATTCTGAAGAGCTCTCAGCAGGGTATTATTTTTTTTTTTTTAATTTTATTTATTTATTTATTTTTTTTTTTTGGAGGGACTGGTTCTTTATTTCAAAAAGACACTTGTCAATATTCAGTATCAAAACAGTTGCACTATTGTTTGTCTTTCTCCCAACTGGCCCCAAAGAGACCACAACAAAGGAGAATACATTTTAAGCCAATAAGCTGCAGGATGTACACCTAACAGACCTCACGAAACCTCACCTAAAAAAGTGAGGATTGGGCTGGGAAAGAAACTTTGAACATTCAGCACACTGCCAGCCCAGACTGCAGGACTCTCACAGCCAGACGAGGTGGCCAGGTACCCCACCCCAAAGATGCAGTTTCAAAATAATATAAAATTTAAAAAGTTGTGTACATAAGCTATTCAAGATTCTCCAGCACTGACTGATACAAAGCACAATGAGATGGCACTTTTAGATACAGCAGCTTCAGACCCAGAAAAGGGTGATGAGATGAGTTCATATAGCTAAATCAGTGGCCAAAACATAATTTTCTTTCTTTTCTTTCAAGCAAGCAGGAGAGCAATTAAGTGGTCACGCAAGATTAAGGGGCCCATGATCCATTCTGTGAACACTTGGGAAGTGGGTAGAGATGGGAGAAAAATTTGGTCTCAGGGCTAAGAATATGGCTCAGTGGTAGAGCATTTGCCGAACAAGCACGAGGCCCTGGGTTCAATCCCCAGCACCAGAAAAACAAAAAGTCTCAGAGGTCTCACCATGTTAATTTGGTCATTTCTGATGAAAAAAAGTAAAAAATAAGAATACAGTTGTCTAAAGATACCTTAAAGCTAAAAATAAAACAAAACCTGAATAGCAAGGTTTTTGTTTTTTGGCGAACTCCTCTTGGAATCACCTTTCTGGTTTGGCTGGTACTTTGCACAGAGCAATGAGGTTTGCCATAGTAGAGTCTTTCCCTGGGCTCTGTTTGGCTTTCAGTAAGGCAGGCCCATTCCTCTTTTCCCCCTCTATGGAGAGGGCAATAGGGACTAGGCTGGAAAGTTACCTTCCAAAAGTGGGAAGGGAATTAGATTGCTGCTTCAGAGCTATGAAATTATTTGGAATGTTTTACAAATGGTTACTGTAACAACAAAAAAAGTAATTACAAAATGTGTACATCACAACATGCTTTTAAAGACACTTTGCGTTGTGCTCACATTCCCTTAAATGCTGTTCCCAAAAGTGCTCAGCCTCTAGCCCAGCTGGAATCTCTGGGAAGAAGCAGACACAGTTTGGTGAAAAAGACAAGGGGGTAGGGGGTAGGGGGGGTGTTGAAAGGAGAAAGCAGCCTTCCAGTTAAAGATCAGCCCTCAGTTTCAAGGTCAGCTTCGGGCTGGCTGGCTTCAGGCAGAGTCAGGGTCAGAGGGAGGAGCAGCAGCAGGGCGGGACTGGGGAGCTCTACATCTCATTCAGGTCAAGCAGAGTCTGGTCCAGCATCCTTTGTGTACAGAGGTGCTCCTCTTTGGTGCATTTCAGCTTATCTTCCAAATCATCAATTGTCTTTTCCAGTTTGGCTACCGATCTCTCGGCAAACTCAGCGCAGGTCTCTGCCTCCTTGAGTTTATCAGTGAGAATCTTTATTTCTTCCTCATATTTGTCTTCTTTTTGAGAGTACTTTTCTTCAGCAGCATTCAGACACTTCAGGTTCTGGTCCATCAGTCTGATCTGCTCATCCATCTCTCGGCAACGGGACTCTGCCAGCTCAGCTCGTTCCTCTGTGCGTTCCAAGTCTCCTTCAATAATCACTAACTTACGAGCCACCTCTTCATACTTCCTATCTGCTTCTTCTGCAATGTGCTTAGCTTCTTTGAGTTGGATTTCCTGGAATTCCATCTTTTCTTCATCTTTTAGGGCCCGGTTTTCAATAACCTTCATACCTCTCTCACTCTCATCAGCAGCTTTTTCTGCTTCCTCCAGCTTTTGCAGGGCAGTAGCAAGGCGCTCCTGAGCACTGTCCAGCTCCTCTTCAACCAGTTGGATCCTTCGGTTCAAGGAGGCTACCTCAGCCTCAGCCTGTTCCCGGGCCCGCCTTTCTCCCTCAACTTCCCGCTGGAGGCGCTCAGCCCTCTCCTCGGCATCATCCGCTTGCTGCTGCAGAACCTGGATCTTGCGCTTCACCGCCTCGACGGTGGTGATCCCGGCCATGGTGCCCACCAAGCGGCTTCTCGTTATCTGCCTTCTGCCTCCTCTCGGCGCTGCAGCCGCTTCTCCTCAGCAGGGTATTTAGACAGCGGTATAACCTCAGAACATTAAAAGAAAATACAAGAGAGTACTTACCAGACTATTGCCAGTTTTTTCCTTTTGATGTACTTTTCCTCTGAAGGAATTTAGACAGATACAGGTGGAACACACTTTTATTCTTAGCTTCCTCTAATTTGCAAATCAGATTAGCAATATAGTGTAACCTTAATATGTCATGGATTTTTTTTTTTTTTTTTTTTTTTTTTTTTTTTTTACTGACTCCAATTCTCCCCATCTCCATTCAACCTAAGTGTCCATTTGTGGTCAGAAAAGAGACAGAGGGTATGAAAGACTTGGCATTGGTTTTAGGAGAAAGGACCGACAGGAGAAATGTAAACTTTAATAATTTGTTAATTTTGCTTTTTCCTCAAGAGTTCTTAAGTTCTATGATCTGAGTGAGGAAGCAGGCCCACCATCAGACCAGGGGAACTTAAGTTGTTTTTAAGGGTTAGACAGGACCCTTAGGTCCAGTGATGGAGGAACACCAGGAGGTGACGTACAGCTGGGGTTGTGACCTGGTGATTGTTCCTTTTTCATTTTGAAACCTGTTTTTATCTTCTTCATTCACTCAATCCAATTAATAGTTCTTCACCTATTGTTTTTCTGTGTGAAATTGTGCTAGAAACGTGAGGGCTTGTTGTGAAGTTTGTTCCCTGTGCAGTAGCTGTGGGGAAAGGGTAGGTATTATGATCCCTGCCATGACGACATCAATTCTATTTTATTTATAGGTAAACTACTTAATCAAATTATTGCTACTGATTCTAATCAAGGCATTATAAGTTGTGGACTAGGTGTTAGTCCATGGAAATTAGAGAGGAAAATTAACACATGGAATTTTCCCTGTGGATACAGAAATCCACCAGAATATGTAGGATGGAGCCCTTGGGGATTACTTTTGTCTTTCAAAGTCAAAATGGGAAAGGTTAATGTAATGACTGTGTCCTTACTAAGTTGTCAATACCCATCCTTATACGTGCCTACATCTGTTTTAAAGATAGTTTATTGTTCACCTATCTGACACCCTCCGAAGTGTTCCATTCCATGGTGGGTCAAGAGGAGAGGCCACCCTGTTGAGGATAAGTTTCCAGAGTATACGTGTTGTTGCTGTTCGCTGTTCAGCACATGTGTCTTTTCCTCCTAGTTTATAATCCTTCAAGTTCCTTTTGGGAATGCTCCCCTCTTCCATTTTTATCATATGGTGTTGGTGGAAATTTAGCTTCCTTAAAACTTCACTGGAGAGTATCTTTTTCCTCTGGCTATAGTGATTAGCTCAGGGACAGGCCCTTAATTTAATAATATTCATTGATATGGGAGCAAAAAAAAATTTTGCTAGAATTTCTGGAGAAACTCCTCTCTGCCTTCCTTGGAATCTACTAGATTGCATGGGGTCTGGGTGTAAGAATGAAAGCCAGATTCATTTTGTGACCTGTGCAAGAACCCTGAGCTTCAGGGGTGAGGCAGGGAGAAAAGGTCACTGTGAAGGGCTTCAGGATGCAGCTAAACTGCAAAAGGAAGATCGGAGAAATGGAGAAACACAAGATCATTGGTAATGCTAGGTCAAGCCTTGCCTGAAGTAGATTTTATCTCTGAACTTTCCAATCATATAAGCAATACATCCCCTTTCATTGCTTGATCCTATTTGAGTTGGGCTTTGAACTCATATTTATAACATAAAGAGTTCCAAAGTTACCATGAATTTTGAACTCTTCCTAAGTATTATTTACATAATGTTGTCTTATAAATTTCTATCAGACACCCTTATTTTTGGGGGGATGGGGGTGGAGTAAGGAAGAGTGATGGTGAGAATCAAATCCAGGGCTCCACTCATGCCAGGACAGTGCTCTGCCACTGAGCTGTACCCTCGTCCGAAATCAGACACCGTTATATAATCATGTAATGATGGAAGGTGGGTTATATAATCTCTGCTCCTCATACAAATTAAAAACTAACTGTGATCAGTGACTAGAATGGCAGGGAGAGCAAGCACTGAATCTATACATTAGTAGAAAAAGCATTTTAGATTTTTTCGGGGGGGGGAAAGATATGATTTTTGAATATGATAGATTCTACTCTCCTGAATAGCTTCATGAAATGATTCTCCCATAAAACAATCCTAAGTCCTGATCGTTCTTAACACTAGGATTTCAAAGGGCTCCACATTCTTTTCTACCCACAGGAGATGGTTCCCATTCAGGACACGCACCCAGAGGTTGCCCATCACACAGTTTTGACTGCACAGAAGAGGAAGAAAGATGTTTGTGAAGGAGCCAGAAGGAAGGCAGGTTGTCCGTGCCAAGAGCAGAACGTCCTTTATGTTCTTTGATAACTTTGAGATTTCCCATTCCTATCCCTTTCTCCCCATCTATTAATGAGCATGAACTACATCCTGGCCTTTAATCATTGATATCATTTCACATACACATTTTCATTATCCTCATCTCTCCTACGAACATCTGTTTCCCAGACCTGCTTGTGAGAGTGGAGTGTATACATGGTGGCTTTCCCCATCTCTGAGCCACGGAGCTAAATTTCCTATGCACCTTCAAGCATTAAATTGAAAATTAAGCTCAATGTACCATATTTTGTTATAATTACAGCTCAGGAAAAAAAATCTTTGTTAATTAGGTATCCGAGAAAGTTATGTGGTCCATATGCTATGGAGGAATTTATAGTCCACAGTAATAAAGCTCAGTAATAAAGGGATAGTGATGAGTGAAGGGGACAAATGTAAATTAACATCCCCCAAATAAATCAAGCAGTTTAGAAAACCAGGCCGTTCATGGCAACCACATGCAACTAGTTATAACAGGCAGTTTTAAAGTGTCTGATTTTAGTTTTCTTAAATTTTTTTAAATAAGTAGACATGATTTGAGGCTTAATATTCTGGTATCATTTGACAGGAATAAAGCTGATGAGTCTGCCATGTTATAATAAAAATTATTCGGATTATTCATCATAGAGTCTTTGGCATTGGGCTGGATAGTGTGGAAATTAGGCCTTTTACTCTGACATGGTCTCCTCCTTTGAGGAATCTTTCTCCCACAACTGTCTGCACTGGCCTGAGCTGCATGGGGGACAATCTATTCATGGACCTGCAGAGTCCCCTGGCTGAAAATGATGATTGACATCATGTAGCTAGGACTTCTGCTGGGCTTGGTCCTGCACTGGGAACTTCACATGCTGAATTCTTCACATTCTTACAGTCCTCACAGAAAGTGTATTACCTTAATTTTTTTTTTCAGTTGTGGATATGGAAAAAATCAACTAGAAATAACTTATGTGATAAAGGCAGGAACACCTCTCATAATAGGGCTTTTAAAGGCTGGGCAGCAACAGAATTGGTATATTTATTATTTGGCACTATTAATAACCCGGATTCATATTTATTCTCTCTCTCTCTCTCTCTCTCTCTCTCTCTCTCTCTCTCTCTCTCTCTCTCTTTGTTGTTTTTAGATATATGTGACAGTACCATGTATTTTGACATATTATACCTATATGGAGTGCAACCCATTCCAATTTTGATCCCATTCTTGTGGTTGTATGATGTGGAGTTACACTGGTTGTGTATTCGTATATGAGCAGAGGAAAGTTATGTCTGATTCATTCTACTGTCTTTCCTATTCTCATCCCTCTCCCTTCCCTTCATTCCCTTTTGTCTAATCCAATGAACTGTATACTTCCCCTCCCTACCCTCCCTTGTTATGGGTTAGCATATACATATCAGACAGAACATTCAGCCTTTGATTTGGGGGGACTGGCTTATTTCACTTAGCATGATAGTCTCCAGTTCCATCCTCATGCAGCTACTCAGTGTTTATAGCAGCTCGATTCACAATAGCCAAGCTATGGAACCAACCTATGTGCCCTTAAACAGATGAATGGATAAAAAAAAAGTGATATACATACACAATGGGCTATTACTCAGCCATAAAAAGGAATGAAATTACGGCATTTGCTGGAGAATGGATTCTGTCTTTTTGTTCAGCTGTTGTGCTGAGTTGTCTTTTGGTTGGTTCCCTTCAAAATGGTAGGATGACTGCTAAAATCTTAGGGGTCACATTCTTCATGTCAATCCCCAGAAGAAGCAGAGGGGACCAATTTTTCTTAGGATCTCATTTTCTTTACAGTAGAAAGATTTTTGCAGAAGCCCCTCACTCTAGGTAGGGATAGATATTTAGATGTTGGATGGATAACCAATCACATCTAGGTGGATGCCACCGTAATCCTCATTTTACAGATAAAGAAACTGAGACAACTTAGAAAGGTTGAGTAACTCAGCATCTCTCACATAATAAGTGGTGAAGCTGTGGTTAGAACCAAGGCGGTTTGACGTCACAGCACCAGTTCTTATCCACTGCACTAAATTACTCAGCTGTGGTCAACACCTTTCCACCCCTGAATAGGGTTCCAGAGTCAGAGGAAATGAAAGAAATAGGTAAAAATTGTCTTCAATTCAAGCTCCCCCCTTGCTTTACCAGGGCTGTCCTGTGGCCCATAAAAATGCCTCACTTTCTTCCCAAAGTTCTGACCTGGATGCCACGCTTTGAAAGAGAAGTATGGGTTTCTAGAGAGTCCATGGGAGGGGCAATGAACTTGACCTTGGAGTTGGGGAGGCTTCCCAGAGGAAATTACTTATATATTCTCCTGTTGGAACTGAAGAGCAAAGAAGATTAGCTTAGTAAAAAAGTGTGCACATATGTAGGATAAGGTCTTAGCAGAAGGGGAGACATCCAGAAATGGGAGAAGGCGGGGAGACATTTAGAAAACTGAAAGTAATTCAGAATAACCGGTATCAAGCACAAAGGGTGGTATAGTTGACAGACAAAGTTCCAAAAGACCTAAGAAGTGCACCACTGAAGACACTATTAGGCACATTAAGGAGTTTGGACTATGTCCTGTGAACAGCAGGGAGCGGTTAAGAATTTTTTTAGTAATGAATTTGATCAGGATGTAATC